AAAACTATCAAAAAACTTAGCCAAATTTTTTATTTTCTAGTAACGCGAAATTTCCAAATTTCGACTGGATTCGATAAATAAAAATAATTGATTTTTCAAATTTCAAGTAACCAAATCGATAATTCGAGTCACCTTAAATAACTTGACTTGGATAACTTGAAATTGAAAAAATTGATTTTTCAAATCGAATCGAGTTTTGCTCACCCCTAGATCAAATATTTGCATTATCCTAACTAGCGATAGATTTAAAAATATTTTTTAGAGTAGACATTGATACATGCATCAAAAGGCTCACATCAAAGGAAGATGAACTAACGCTTCCAATCGATCCACATGACCAAACCTTGGAAAAGAAGAACAACAAAGCAACAACCTTGTGGATGCTTTTTGAATGAGACTTTCGTGTTATTTGATTAACTTGTCTCCTGGAGTTACGACCGACTGTATCTTAGCTTTCCAAAGGATCTTGAATCTCATTAATCTGATATCGGGAACTCAAGATACACTCATTTTAGTGAAGACATCGCATGCATAAATTTCTATACATATTTTGTAAATATTATGAATTTTTCAATAATTTTATTGATTATTTGTAACATAATTTAATATAAGATGATGCATTATCTTTTAGGATTAAATATTTTATTTTATTAAGAAGTAAGATCGAGTTAAAATATTATTCTTAGTTTATTATTGTTTATTAGGAATTAGGATTAGAACATATTTAGTTTATTATTATTATATTCATAAGTTGTTTAGAAATTTTAGAAATCTTCACTTACATAAATGAGACTTCATTCAACTTTGTAAATAACACATCTTTCTTTGAATACGAAATACATTGAGAGTTTATCTTTTTAAGCGTTGATTACTTGGTCTTCGAAGCTTTTTTTTCATTAAATTATTTTCAAGTTCTTTGTGAGAGATATCTTCACACTCTTGTTTATCTTTTCATTGCAATTAGAAAGGCTGGTTAGAGTTATTTATCGAGTTTGCATTTTCATTACGACTATGAGGGTTTGATAGGACAATTATCCATCTATTTTCATCTTCCACAGCTTCATCACCTTCTTCTTCCATTCAAATCATTCTGGTTTCTTCATCGAGTCTAGAGTTTTTTAGGTTTGATTCCTTCAACAACGAGCAACATTTATTTATCCATTGCACCATCTCTATCAGAAACATTCAAACATACAAATTTTTTATATTCGAAATAGACACAATTAGTAAATTGAATAATTAAGAAAAAAATTCTTCAAAATCAACATTTATCTATCCTAAGATAAAATAAATTTGATCGAATAATTTACGTTAAAATAAAGTTTCACTTAACATTAAACTCAAATCGATGAAGTATTATCGTAATATTTAAGAAAACATTGTCGTTCATCATTTATTTAAAGGTTTGAAATAATTTCTATATTGATTAGTAAAGTCGTTTGCAAATAAGAGCAGTTTTAATAAAATCATCGATAAATGAAAACAATTTTAATAAAATGTAAATAAATGAAAATGTATGAATTTAAAAAGAATTTTTTAAAAATAAACTTGTAATGAGAATGATAAATTTTATAGAATTAATAGAAAACGTTTTATTTAACCCCTCAATTATAATATAAATTTTATTTTTGATTTTTAATATTTTTAAGTGACGATTTTAAAAATAATTTAGAAAATTTACATTTAAAAAAATATGAAAACAATAAATTTTTGAAATTAAAAATGATATCTATTTGAAAATTTTCCATTCATCAAATTATTTTATAATCAATTATTTATTAATCGTGATTATATTTGTAAAATTAAAAATTTATAATTATGAAAATCCAAAAAATTAAATTATAGAAAATATAATTATTTTTTATTAAACGATGTGATTCAAACATTTGAGTTTTGTTTAAAAAGTCAAACCACAATTTAAAAAAAATACATCCAAAAATTTATAGTATCATATTTGCAAAAATATACATCCAAACTTAAATAAAAAATAATTTAAACAATCTTTAAATTTTAATAATGTATGAAATAATTATGTATAGATTCAATATTTATAATATGATACTAAAAATAATATTTAATTTATTTATATCTATTTTGTTTTCAATTCAACAAACATAATAAAAATTGATTTAATTAAAATAATAGTTAAATGAATTTTTATTATAATTAAAGGGTCAAATAAGACATTTTTATTAATTTAACACGACATATAATCTCTTTAATGATAAATAATGGTGTTGTGCCCATTTTGTAATAAAATCTAAAGTTTAATGCGTATTAAATAACTTTTAAAAATTTTGAATCTGAAAAGATCATTTTGATAAATTTGATGTCCATTTATAAGTTTTACGTTATATCAATTTTTGACATTCGTTCTAAAATTTTCCTTAACTACAAGGGGTTTTAACGTAAAAGAAACTATATGGAACAAATTCTAAAATTTCTCATTTAAAATGTAGATTGAAATAAAAATAATTGAAATAATCATAGAGACCATGAAATTTAAACTCATGATTTCATTTAAAGATCACTTTTGAAAATTTTAATTTTAATTTGTGTACTTTGATTTTTTTTTTATAATTTAATCTTAAACTTATAAAAGTTAAAAAAATATAATAAAATCTTTATTAAAGTTGTCATCAATTTACTAAAATTTTATCGATCACAATAAAAAATAGGTAAAAATATACCAAAGATTCACATACTTAAAAAAATTAAATGTGATCATCGTATTATATATTTTTGGTATAATTAGACATTTGATCATACTTACATATTCTATCAATTTAGACCTAATTTTAATAAATTAAAACAAATTTAGCATGTGATTAAGATCTGCCAGGTGTCCTCATTCAATTAAAGGATTTAATTTAATTTTATTTAGCACCAATTAGAGGGTGACATGTGTCACTCTTTGTTTGAAAGAAAATTAAAGAATTTTTTTTAAAATCACATTAAGAGAAAAATAATATGAGAACCACATTTATTTAAAAAAATACATGGACCTCTAATACATTTTCATCTAAATATTATCTCAAACCCCTAAATAAAATCCGAACGACACTATTTTTTTAATTTTTTTCAACAATAATATTTTCTTAATTTAACCCTCAAATTTAATCCCAGCAATATTTCTCATACTTTTACTAAAAAAAAACTCTATAACCTCATCTCAATGGCTATGTCATGAAATGATTAGTTTCTCTGTGCAATTCTTCCGCAGTCTGTGCCGCTCGTCTCAGTTTTACTTCTGCTTTACCCCTAACTGGAGTTACTAAGGTGATTGCTTAAATCAGAGTAAGGGGATCAACTCAGCTAATAATCTCATGTCAGGGTTTAGGGTTGTTGAGCATAGACTATAGTTACCAACCACAGATGACAATATCACAAGATAGAACGCAATGCCAAAGAAATTTAGACACCAAGATAGAACGCAAGCCCATTATTCCAGCTCCTCTTACCATCCTAACCATAAATTTACTTGCTTACAATTGAAATAAGAGAAGACCATCGCCATGAAAATTTTAAATTTTTATATATTTTAATTATATTTTCAAAATTTTATTGAAGATTTATTTTTACCATTTATAATTTTATAAGTTCGTCTACTAATACAAAACGAATAACATTTGGCATCAAGGGTACGGTCAAGATGAAGAAAAACCAGCAAATTATCTGTGCTAAAACAAGAAAATCAGCACTAAACTTTCAAGCTAGTTACATGCAGTTCCCATAAGAAAATAAGGAGGCAGCATGAAAAAGAAACTCAGTTTGTAGTATTGAACATCTCAGTCCCTATAACAATTTACATTCAATGATTAAAGATAAAGCATTGATCCATTAAGATGCTACAACATCTTGCACTGGAATTTACTTCAATAGTAAATGGATTCACCAGTATATTCACTGATTTTAATACTGAAGTTAGTTAGTAAATGGAGGGGAAAAGGAACAAAATTGGGTAAATTTATTGTCTACGAGAAGAAAAAATTGAATAGTGAATCAATCACAAATGAAGCGATATTGTATTACCCTCGCGAACGAGACTCAGAAAGACCGATCCATGGACAAGGTTCAGAGGCGAGTAGCAACGCCAGGGGCGGCGGCGACATTGGAGGCTGCACCACCGAGGAATGACAAGAAACCGGGGGCGGCTGGTTCTTGCTCGTCCAAGAAGAGATCCTCAGGGGCCCTGAAGGCACCGTGAGCGCAGACGAGACCGCAACCAACCATGATAGCGGAAATGATGAGAGATCCAACGGAGGTGAGGAAGATAACGAAGACGCTGAAGATGATGAGGCCTCCGAGTGTCTCGCGATCGGAGTACGTGCGGCTGAAGATCACGAGGGGCTGGTCGATGGGGCGGAAGAGGTAGAGGAAGATCCACGAGAAGAGGAGGGCGAGGAGGAGGAGGAGCGAAAATGGATGGGAAAGAAGCGATAAAGCGAGAATGAGACCGACGACGAAGAGATAATTGATTCGGAAGTAGGAGTAATTCTTGCGGAGACGGAGGGTGGCTTCGGAGAAAGACTCGGGCTTGGTGAAGGCGGAACGGTCAGCGAGTTCAGCCCAGGGACGGCGCTGGGAGAGGCCATTGCGGAGGTAATCGTTGATCTGGGTGAAGAAGGCGCGGAATGTGGAGACGGCGACGACTTGGGTTTGGTCGGCGGATTGGACGGTGAAGACGGGAAGGACGGGAGGAGCGGAGGAGTTCATGGCGGTGGAATTGGATGGATTGATTTGGAGAATTGAGGGAAATGATGTTTTTGGTGAAGTTTATGAGGGTGGGGGATATCAGGTATTAGAGAATAGAGAATATTAACTCTGTTTGGCGTGGAGAAAATGGAGGGAATACAAGCACGTACGTGAATATAAGCATTGTGTAAGCGAATATGCAGGGTAATGAGCAGAAAGAATATCAGCATACCCCAACAGAATGACAATTTTGAGGCACACAATATCCCATCCATCCACCATTTGATCCAAACTTTTTTAACCAAGTAGAGTTCAAGAATCACTCCAACTATCTTCATCGCTTCCGGCCAATGCCTATTTTAAGAGAGATGATTTATAAAAAAGAAAAATAGAATTGAACATTGCTAACATGGCTGTGACATAACAGGCAGCGAACACGAACCTGGCGAATTGCATTTGCTTTCTCCAAGATTGCTGCAATTCTTATGTTGGTTTTAGGACCCTGAACGCGTGGTCCGGTCAACACAACTGCAGGCTTCAAGTTGAAGGACTGTAGAAAGCAAAACAAATCAATGCATTCCCCAATCCCCACCATTAAAATAATTTCTCTCTTTTAAAAGACGGGAACAAATGGATCAAACCTTTGTTCGTATCTGTTCCAGCAATGAATCTCTTTCATCTACCTTGGGGATGATTGGAGGTCGTTTCTGCTCGGTTTCCTTTCTCATCTGCAGAAAATTTAAACTGTCACTTCACAACAAACAGGCAGACAGGAAGAGAAAACGAATTAAACCGAAAAGCCATAATTACCTTGCTGTTGTCATGAGCAGCAACATCATCTATGAGAGGACTGCTAGGACGAGGAAGTTTAACAGGTGAATTCCCATTTGAGTTTCCTTCTTCAGCAACTTGTAATAAAGCATGTGTATTTGAGGGCCATGCTTTCTCTCCCTCTGAAGTTAACAAATCATGTTCTATTCGTGCGGTTTCTCCCTCTGGAGCTGCCAAGCCATGCTGAACAATGACATTTGGTGTCTGCACCTTTTCTGCCTCAGAAACTGCCAAACTATGCCGAGGCTGCTCGTCTACCTTGGCTGGGAACTGCTCTACTTTGGTTGGAAGAACCTGTGCTACCTCGGTTGGAATTTGCTCCTCTCTCTTAGTTGGTAGGCGCACAGATACGACATAAGGATTCCCATGTTCTCTATCAAAACTTTGTTTAGTGTCCTGAAATGACCCACGTTCTAAACTTGCATCGAGTACAAACTGATTTGGACGGTGCGCTGTTCCTCGTGCAAAGATACAGGAATATGTCAACAAGTTGCATCAGTAGGTGGTATCGGCAATTGATCAGAATCACCATACCTCTCTTCACCATCCACAAGGGGTAGAAATGGATTTCTGGGATGTTAGAAGCCCAGCTCCGACGCTGGTAAACCGAATAGAGCTTTCTCACCATATTGAACTCTCCCTATCCTCCACTGCATTGGAGGAAGAGGTGGCAATGGTGGCATTTCCTCGATGATAGCTTTAGTTGCTTCAGGGTGCAGGCCAAAGGCGGGATGAATGAGATTAGATGGATAACTTTTTTGTTTATCCTGCCTACCTGATTGTTCTGAAAAATCAAATGAAGGTTGCGTTGAAGATCCTTCTTTGGAATGTTCAAAAGAAGACTGCAAGCATATTTCCTGATCCATGGGATCCGGATATTGTATCTGTCTTGAACCATCTTCAACCATGTGCAGCCTTTTCAAATCATGTTGATTAGCATGGATGTCTAACTACTCTGCTAACAATTTCAGCTTCTGAACTAATCTGCTAACGATTTCAACTTCTTAACTAATCTTGCTTAACTGCTCCAATATTCCCTCTACTTTTTCCTCCTTCGTTAACAAGACAACACACACTTTGGTTCTGAAGATTTCGAACGCAACTTTGTTAACAAGGCAACATACACACTTTGGTTCTGAAGATTTCGAACGTAGCTTTGGTAAGAGGTTTTGTGAAGCCATCTGTCACTTGATAACTGGCTGGAACGTAGCTGACACGCAACACTTTGGCAACAACTTTTTCCCTAATGAAATGAACATCCATGTCCACGTGTTTAGACTGTGCATGATGAACCAGATTCATGCCCATGGCAATGGCGCTTGTATTATCACACCAGATAACTAGTTCTTCACGTTGCTTCACACCCAGACTCACTAGCAGTGCATTGATCTTGGTGACTTCTGCTGTTGCGTCTGCAACACTATGGTATTCTCCTTCCATGGTTGATCTTGAAACTGTTTTCTACTTCTTCGAGCTCCAGACCACAGAACACTTTCCAAGAAACACAGCATGACCAGAGATTGACCTGCGATCACCTACATCACCTCCCGAGTCTGCATCAGCAAAAGCAACAACTTTTAACCCTGCTTCATCAGCCAAGAACGAGAGACCATAGTTCAAAGTACCTGCCAAATATCGAAGTATGCGCTTAACTGCTGCCATGTGAGATTCACAAGGTGCATGCATGTACTGAGCAGTCTTATTCACGATGAATACAATGTCAGGTCGAGTGTGGCACACATACAGTAGTGCACCAACCAGGCTCCTATACTCACGAGCATCAGACAGTAATGGACCTGTGTCATGAACCAGTTTCGATGATCCTATCATTGGAGTAGTAGTTGGATTAGCATTCAACATATTTGCTCTTTCCAGTAACTCAAGAATATACTTTCGTTGTGAAAGAACCAGCTTGCCACTACTTTTTGTCACCTCAATACAAAGGAAAAATTCAGCTCACCTAAGTCTTTAAGTGAGAAATCTTCTTGCAAACATTGAATCAATCTCTCAATGTCAACCTTACACTCACCAGTAATGATTATGTTATCCACATAGACCAATACAAACGTATAACAATGATTCACATACTTGACAAAGAGCGACACATATGCTAACGGTTCAACAAATCCCATTCGTACAAGGCTGTCCTTAAGCTTATCATGCCAGTTTTTGGGTGCCTGGCGAAGTCCATATAGAGCTTTGTGTAGCTTACACACTAGAGGTGATACATCAGCATCTAATTCTTCAAATCCTGGAGGCTGCTACATGAATACTTCTTCAGACAGTTCTCCATTCAAGAATGCGTTGTATAAATATTATGAATCAAATGTTTAATTATACCAATTTAACAGATAAGTGACCTGATTAAATGCATTTAAATAGTTAGATGACCTGATTGACAAGAATTCAAAAATGGTATTCAAAATGAAAAGGTGCAGGTGGTATCTAATATAGTTTACCCAAAATCATATACAAATCTCATGGTGGAATTGAGGGGAAAATTTGTGGGACTGATCTGACTCCACCTCCATCTCCATAGGTAAATGGGGGTCATTTGCAATGATGAGTTTTCAAAACCCTAGCCCTCACCAGAGTTCTCTATGGGTTACATATAAGCCAAGTTTTACAATTATATTCCCTCACTTTTTGTTCAAAAGTTGTATACTTTTATTCAAAATAGGAAGGAGATGCCCCACATTCCCATCATCACCAACATTGCTTCAAAACCTTTAATTATAACCTAACTTAAACCTAACCTAACCAGCTATTATTAATTACATTTGTTGAGTTAATTGCACACCACATGCATTCATTATTTCCACCTACTGCTTCACCTTAATTCCCCATTATTGCGTTTTACACAATAAACCCACAATTCTTCCATACATATGTAATTGTAGACACTAATTTCCGTCTATATTTTTTATTTTATACATATATACACATATATATTATACAGTTTGCAAATTGTTTTTGAAAATACATATATAATATATAGTTTAAAACATTTTTGAAAATATGTATATTATATAGTTTTTAAAATATTTTTGAAAATTATATAATATATAGTTTTTGAAAACGTTTTTAAAATATATATAATATATACTTTCGAAAACGTTATGAAAACATTTATATAATATATAATTTTTTAAAAACCATTTTGAAAATATATTTTTTGAAAATTATATAATATATAGTTTTTGAAAACGTTTTTAAATATATATAATATATACTTTCGAAAACGTTATGAAAACATTTTATATATATAATTTTTTAAAAAACCATTTTGAAAATATATTTTTTGAAAATTATAATATATAGTTTTTGAAAACGTTTTAAATATAATATACTTTTGAAAACGTTATGAAACATTTATAATAATTTTTAAAAACCATTTTGAAATTATATATAATATATAGTTTTTTTTAATAAAAAAAACATTTTAAAAATTTATATATTATATGTTTTTGAAAACGTTTATATATATATATATATTATTATTATTTATTTTTATTTTTAATTTATTTATTTCTCATTTATTTTTGTGCAGGGTCCATGTCTAAGATCTGTCCAACATTGGGCCTGATCCAGCCCGGTTAGGTTTAGGGTTTTCACAACCCTAACATCAGCTTTGTCACAGCGCCGCATAGGAGGTTCCAGAAGCATGGAGCCAAGCAGTCAACGCCCAGCGCACATTCCGGCCGCACCAACGGGACTGAACCATCCCGAGGCGGCCGGTACCATGAACTGGAAGATCGGAACAAGCAACAACCCACATCCCGTTATTTTCGGGAGCCAAGCAACCAACACCGGGGCTATAAAAAGCCCCCGGTGAGGCCGACAGGGGGGATCAACGGAAACCGAGCGAAAGCAGGCAACACAGCTGAACACAACCAAATCCACACAAAAGCCATCAGCAAACAGACACACATCCAAAGAATCGTAAACCCAGAAGCCTAGAAACAAAGAACCCATCAAGAGAACAAAACACGAAAACATCTCAGTACCACACCGAGAGACCAACGACCATAAAAATAGAAGCATCATCGAGCCACAACCGAACAAAAAGACCATCAACAACAGACAAAAATCATCACAAAAATACAAGCCAAAGGCCGAAGCCTCTCAGTAAACAAACCAAAGCAAGCACGTAGAGAAACCACAAAGCCAAAGGCCTTGAGAAACGAAGGGACACCGGCGAGAGGGGTAAAAAAACCGAAACTTGTACTTTAGATCTACGCCGTTTTGGGGATATTTGAGGGATTTGGACTTTGGATCGACGCTCGGGGTGTCAAGGAGAGTGTCCTAGGCTTGTTTAGGTTTTTCAACCACCGCCGGTGGTGGCCGGAGGCGGCGCCGGACAACCTCAGGCGAGGGAGCCGCAGAGAGATTTGTTTCTCTCAAATTCAGAGAGAACACGGGCGAAAATAAGAGAAATGAATGGCTAGAAGCTGTCTTGACCCATTTATATACGAGGGACCATAGTGCAAATAGAGGATTTTTGAATCCTTTCCGCCGTCCCTGAATGTTTGAACCGCAATTCAATCTGGTCACCATCTATAAATTTGCATCCATATTTCCAATTTAATCAATTTAGTCCCTACTTATATTTTATATATTTTCACGATTTGGCCCCTAACTTTTTTTTATTTTGCAGTTCAATTTTAGTACCTGATTAATCCATCCATTTTAATTTGTTTTAATTTAGTCCTTTAATTTTTTTTTTCCTTTTTAATTTTAGCATTTTTTTTAGTTATTCATTTTTACCTTAATTTTAATGTGTTGTAAATAATTTATTACTTTTAAAATCTAATATTTGTATTATTATTATTATTTTTTTCCTTCCTTTTATTTATTCAATATTTACTCTTTT